GAAGGAACTCCAATAATACTAATGCGAAACTTAAATCCACCGAAGCTGTGCAATGTTACCAGACTGACGATTAAAAAAATTACACCAAAATTTATTGAAGCAAAAATTATCAGGGGTAAGTTTAAAGGAGAAATAGTCTTAATCCCAAGAATACTGATGATTTCATCCGAATTACCCTCTGAATTTAAGCAAGTACAATTTCCTTTGTGTCTAGCTTTCGCAATGACCTATATACTGTAAGGCACTAGGGCAACTCCTGACTATCGTCGGTTTAAATTTAGAAAATGCATGCTTTTCACACGGACAGCTGTATGTTGCGTGCTCACGTGGTGGTATTTACGCCCGAAAACTTATAAATCTATACACCTAATGAAAAAACAAAAAAAATTTTATAAAATTATTTATACTATAATATTATATAAATAATCAAAATGTGCTATAAAATCTTTAAAACCCATAAGAATAAAATGTTTGCCAAGATCACTTGAACCACAAGCTGAAAGAAGAGGTTCCTATTTCTATAGAAGAGTACTAGTTTGTTAAATAAAGCTCAGACTAAAACCCAATTTAATAATTACATAGATGGAGGTATGTTTTCATCATCAATGTTAATTACAAAATATGTCACCATTCAACTAATCCATTATTTATTAACTTTTTTGTTGCAACTTGTGTTTTGAGCTAGTAAGTTTGTATGTTACCCTGTACATACAATACTAGGGAAATTTGTAGAAGAGGTTTACAACACAAAAAGACAATGAAAGGGGCAATATTGTAAAGAAGTTTATTTGGGCTACCTAGCTACTTAATATATTGCAAAAGGATTATAGAAAATGTAACAATCAGAGACATTTATATTTTCCTAATTATATCATAAATACAATACAGCACCATGGAATAGTTTTTTAATTTAATTTTTGTATACAGGGTGTTTATGAAGGGTGTCACAAACAGGGGCTGATAGTTCTTATCAATCTAAACAAAAAGGTCCATATAAACATAGGTTGAAAACAAATTTGTTTAGCCGCTAGCCGCCATTTTGTATTTTTTACAAAACAATTTATACCTCAAGAATCATTCAAGCTACAAAAATCAAACTTTGCACATGTAATACCCAGTTACTTCGATCTGGGCATTGGCACCAAGAAACACATTTTTACTTACGGTATAAGTTCTATTTCAAAGATTAGTTCTAGACCTGTGATATAACCAGGAAAAAAAATCTATTATCGCCATAATATGCATATAATCTTTGGAAAATTTAACAAGGGCCTTACGGAATGAAATTCCGCCAGTACGGTTACTTTATGATCATAAATAGTTGAATATGGTTTATGTTACCTTGCCTAAAATGATCCTGTGTAGTTGTAAAACACAACAGCTGTTTCGTGCTACAATGAGCACATCTTCAAAGTGAAGAAACACAAAATCAACTCATTTAGCCCGCGGTTGAGCACATCAAAAAACACATACAGTACATGAAGTTCACACAAAAACACTATTACAAACACTTGGCCAAGTGCCGCGAACACGCGACGCGGCGCCGGTAATGTGTAGGTCATGACTGGCGCGTGGTCACGGTGGTATCGGAGACATTCACTTCCCTCCCCATCACCTGTTGTTTATCAGGACCCTTGTGCTGATTGGTCGATCAATTTGAATGACAGCTGCTCATTCAAGATATGGTCAGGATGTTCTCTAGCTGCTCTATAGATTTCAAATTCTTCTATTGTATCCATGCGCCTCTTGTTGTTGCAAAAATGCATGACTTCCAAATTTGTTTCTATGTCAGTGTAGTTATAGTTGTGGTTAATGAGATGGTTGACGAGGGTGGATTTGTTGTTTCTTGTTGGTAAGTGTTCTTTAAATCTGGTTTTAAATGAACAAGCAGTTTGTCCGATATAAAAATGTGGGCAGTTGTCACATTTGATTTTATAAATTCCTGTGCCACGAAATACGGGTGTGTTCACTTTACTACGGGGATTGTTCTTGGTCTGTTGTAGGATGTTGGAAAGTTTATTGGAAGTTTTGTAGGCTATCGTAATATTATTTCGGGACATCTGTTTAGTTAGGGTAGTATTTAGGACTGTGCCAAATTCAGAGCTGACATATTGTTTGTTATCGGTTGCGTTGCTTTGTCTAGTCTTGTTGTTGTGTGTGCTTCCTTATCAATTTGTCAATTAACGAGCTGTTGTAACCATTGGCTACTGCTATGTGTTTTAAGGTGTCGACTTCATTTCTATAGTTTTCATTACTCAACGGTATGGATAATAGTCTGTGAACGTAACTGTTGAAAGCTGCTGTTTTGTGGTTATGAGGGTGGTGTGAGGATGAATGGATTGTCTGATCCGTCGTTGTTGGCTTCCTGTAAATATCAAAATTAATTCCTTTATCTGTTCTGGTTATTAATACATCTAAGAAATTTATAGATTTATTGTTCTCAGTTTCTATAAAAATTCAGACCATAAAAATTCATTCTCTATGTGGTTCATAAACAATTCTGATAAAATACTCGACAGAGGGCAGCCCATGGTTAGTCCTTCGTTCTGTTTGTAAAATTGGCCATTGAATGTGAAGTAATTTTGATTTAAGATGCATTCTGTTAATTTGATTAGTTCTCTTTTAGCAACTGTCGACAAAGAAGAATTTTTATGTAAGTTAGTTTCTAGGATGTGGATTGTTTCTCTAACAGGCACGTTGGAGTATAAATTAACGATATCGAAGGATGCGAGCATGTATGATCCTTTTAATTCAATGTTTGTTAATTTGTTAACTAAGTCTACAGTGTTTTTTACCCTATAATCATTTTCAAGAACTATTTCTCTCCTGATTATTTTATCTATTTTTTGCGAGATCTTGTATGCAGGGGATGTCCTAAAATTGACAAGGGGCCTTATTGGTACATTAGGTTTATGAATCTTTGGTAATCCTCTTAAGACATCCTTCAACAGACCAAGAACAATCCCCTAGTAAAGTGAATGGCACAGGAATTTATAAAATCAAATGTGACCACGTTTTTATATCTGGCAAACTGCTCGTTCATTTAAAACCAGATTTAAAGAACACTTACCAAAAAGAAACAACAAATCCACCTTCGCCGACCATCTCATTAACCACAACCATAACTACACTGACATAGAAACAAATTTGGAAGTCATGCATTTTTGCAACAACAAGAGGCGCATGGATACAATAGAAGAATTTGAAATCTATAGAGCAGCTAGAGAACATCCTGACCATATCTTGAATGAGCAGCTGTCATTCAAATTAAATATTATTTATAACACCGATACCACCGTGACCACGCGCCAGTCATGACCTACACATTACCGGTGCTGCGTCGTGTGTTTGCGGTACTTGGCCAAGTATTTGTAATATGTTTTTGTGTGAACTTCATGTACTTTATGTGTTTTTTGACGCGCTCAACCGTGGGCTAAATGAGTTGATTTTGTGTTTCTTCACTTTGAAGATGTGCTCATTGTAGCACGAAACAGCTGTCGTGTTTTACAACTACACAGGATCATTTTAGGAAAGGTAACATAAACCATATTCTGCTAATTTTAATGATCCAGGGGCTATCCATCAAGAAATTGTAAATAGTTGCATAAGTAAATATGTGGACGTTACATACATATCCTTTGTATCGGTATTTTTCCTGTGTTTGCTTTTTCTGGTTTGCTAATGTCATCTGGTGAACCCACAGTTCAGGTTGAACCCGACCTTGAACCTAAACCAATCGCACTTTCTTAATCTTGGCCAGATTTTGCAGTTCAGGCAGAAATAATCCTGCATGGATCCATACGAATAACAGATGTAACTTTTTAAAGGCTTGCGTGCTTTGAGAGAATTGCACAAATAGTTATCACCATACCTTATGAGGTTTGTTTTCTAAAATTTTGTACATTTAACATAATTATGAAAAGCATTGTTTTCAAGCAAGTGTTCTACATTCCACTATCTCAAAACATTGCCAGAAGTAATTGTTTGTACGTTTCTGTTGTTTATTGCTCATCTTCATTTTCTACAAATAATATCAGGCAGTTTTTGAGAATGCATTGTGAAATTTTCTTTCATTAATATGACACTCTTATGTGAACTAGGAATTTTTTTGTAAAATGAAAACGCAAAAAATACTTTATCCTTCTTGGGCAATAATATAGACAAAGTCTTTGCCAACACAACAATCAATAGAACAAGTGTGTTGCCAACACGATGATATCATAAAAAATATTTCAAAGTAAATAATAAGAAAGCATGTTCATAATAGCATATCTAGATAAAACTATTGATTTGAGAATACATTTTTATGTAAAACTGCAGAATCATGTAGTTGTTTTAATTCCCAACAACATAAGATAAATGTTATTTGTTATAACCTTATTTAGCTATGTAAATCAAATCTGTAAATACTCTAACTATTCATTCGATCAGCGGTCGTTTCCAGATTACAACTTAAATCAAAAGTCGAGCAACACAAAACAACTAAATTTGACTTAAGACTTTCTCTGTATTATTTGATCAGTATTCATCATCTGAATTTTTTTCTTTTGTACTGTGTTTAGGTTGTGGCTTGATTTTGATTTTAAAATATGCTATGATTCTTTGTTTTGTTTACATTTACCTTGTTATTTTGTAACCATCATGGCAACCCTTAAGGCCAATGTTAAAATTTAAAAACTTTGAGTTCCTTTTAAATCTTTATATATAGGCATTATCAAAAATTGAAATTGTTTTTGTCTAAACCTTCCAAACATTTGACAACACAACCTTGGTAAGTTTGGCTTAAATATGTTTAGCCGTTATTTAGTTAATGTGTTAGAAAGTTTACATTGAAGTCGGTCCCCTTTGATTATAAAATCAAACTGTAGCGCATACATTTTTGAATCCACCATAAAATAAAAGAGAAAAATTTTGTCAACATCAGCAAACATATTACCAGCATGAGACATAATAAAACAAAAACAATAAAAAAATATTAAGACAAAATAAAAACAGGCTTCAGATTTTAAAGTAAGTTTAGAATTCTACTTGAACTATATAAACAAAATTACACCCATGTGTATTTTAAGGCAAATGGTACTTTTAACGATTGAATGAATTACATGAAAGCCTTGTTATTGACTTAAACCAGCTGGTACATTATCCAGACTCATTTTTGCACATTGGTCAGGAACAGCTAGTTCTAGTTTTGAAACATCATAAGCTACTGAACTTTTGTAAATAATATGTTAAAATTTTAACAAAATTGGTGCTTAGCATTTGAGTACCTTGGAGTGAACAGTTATCACAGCTGTTGAAAGTCTAGATAGCACCATGTTGATTAGAAACAATATTGTTACTTATCGGGGGAAACTCTCTATCAAGAAATAGGAAGACTGTTTACCATAAGCATCAGCACAAGTTCTGTTGTATACAAAACGGTATCCCAAATAATATATTCCTTTAGTATACAAAAAAGTATGTTATGCAGTCAAAACACTCATATGATTTAGACACTAAACATCACACCATTACATAGTAATTACTTAGTTATGATTTAAGTATAAATTAATCAAAGATCTAAATAGATCCACCAATAACGCAACTGGGGTTTTAAAATAACATTCTGATATTATTTTCCATGACTATAAAATAAATACAAAATCAGTCAACACACAAAGTGTAAGATCCTAAAAACAGACTTTTACAATTAAAATACATTTACAATATCAACATACTTACATGCACCGCTCAAGTTAGAAAAAATGTAGATCGCGCTTGATTCCTGTAGAAAGGAGTCGCCTTAGTATTAGGAACATAATACACGTATAATCTAACTTACAATCTAAATAATTAATATCACAATGAAAATACATTTTGTTACATCGGCAGTTTCAGCTTCCAATTTAAAATAATTTGTAAAACCACTACTTTGGTTCTATACTCGTAATTCAAAAATATTTTGATATTCCAGATAAAAAAGTTAGTTATGTGTTTCATATTTCATTTGTATTGACGTTTTGACGTATTTAGCGACACATACAAACAACTTGACAGCTAACTAATCTGTGATTATCCACATTAATTCTTAATATATTACATGCTTGCTAGCTGACTGTATAAAATCGTCAAAGATACAATCTTGTACTTGGTTCAGGTGACAGTAAGTATACAAAATGTGTACTTACAGCCAACAATGAAACGTTTGAATGCTTGTCACCAGAAAGTTATTTGTGACAATATAATTTAAAAAATAATGTTGGGCAAGATCTTACACTTTTTAAAAATGGTATGATTAATTAAAAGTGAATTTTTTCTTCTCGTAACACCCTAAGGGTTAAACAAATTTTTTAATTATTGGATTCAGTATAAAAGAAAGTGGAAAGTGTAACGATCAATTGTTGTTTCAAACATTCTATTCATACTCCAAAATCTGTTTGTGGTAGAAGAGTAGATAGCTGAAACAAAACAAATAAAATTCCAATATCAATGTTGCATATATGGTGGGGTTAACTAGTTTTATACATAAGTTGAAAGGGTTAGAAATTACAATAACAGATCTTTAACTCATACTTATGGATATTTTATTGGCTATTTATTCCAACTAATAACACCTTCTTGCCTAAACTCAAGTAGTATATATATTGCAAATATTTACGTTAATACTGGTTGTTAATACTTTGCTTAAGGCTAAGAATGCCAAGAAGAATAATGCTACCGCTCATAATTGATTATAGAAACGCAATTCTACAGCTTGAGTTAGTTAGACCAAACATTCTTTTTCTCTATTTTCACCATAAATGTTCTTCTCAATAATTATTATTCTCTCATTTATAATATTTCTACATGCAATTTGACACAGGCCAACTACTACCAATCTCCCACAAGAGATATGCAGATGCAGATACTACCAACTGAAATATCATTTTCAGTAACTAGTAATACATTTCCTACATTTGATAAAATGACTCACCCTTCACTGTCCAATACTTGACTGATGTGAGCTCTGGTGATCATGTGATCATCACACTTGTACCTGGAACATAGGTAAATTACCTTTAAAACACGTTGACACGTTGTACAGTTGAACACGTTGAACAGTAAACACGTTGACGAGGGTCATTTTACAGCCTGAGGCTTGCCAGGGCGAGTGCCGGCCAGGTATCAGTGACCGGTTCTACGTTGCGGTGGGTATGGGGTGGAAAGATCGATCAGGGACGGTGAGCATTGTTTGTTTTATGAATAAAATAAAACTGTTATATCCTAACCTAACCTTGCCAATTATGAAAAAAATGTACCGGGTCTCCGTTACATCCTGCCCACTACACCCCCTTCCACTATTACCAATACCCTTACCCTGAATCACTCTTACGCTCTGGGGAGTCAAACGGCACTCGGGCCTATCTGACGGTTTTGACAGTTCATAATCCCCACGGCAAAGAATAGAACGGCACTTGCTCCGTTCCCACCTTTCACTGCCTTGGTAATAAAAAAAAAAAAAAAAATTGATTGCAAACACAGTTAAAGCGAAAAAGCAAACAAAAGACAAATATTAGATGTTTTACCAATTAAATTACAATAACTAGTAAATTACAGCACATCTATAGTCCACAATGTAGGAAACATTCCTAAAAGTTAGTTAATCCTAATGGTAGGACTATATTGACCAGATAAGCTAGCTGATCCTTATCCTTGATCATAATAATTCTTAAAGTTACTTAAAACAACAATAAGAGTAATTTTTAAAGAGGAAAAGCAACTTGGCTTTAAGAACTTGTTAACACGTTCATTGTGGTTGCGCGATGGCCGGTGGCTAATGTGCTGCAAAGTTGAGTGCGCGAAAACGTTTAAATTGAGTTTTTGATCCAAATGATAGAATATTGTAGCATGTACTGCTTTCCAGTTGTTGTTGACGTAATTTAAAAGAACCAAACAGATAGTAGCACTAAACAAAGCTGCTAGTAGGTCCTCAGTACTTCCCAAATGGGGGGGAAAAAGCAGGGGCGAAAAACCTGAATACTCAATTTAAAATACCGCAAAAAAGGTGTCGAGCACTATTTTGAGGTTAGTTCCTTCCACAATGCTACACTACAGTAATTCTATTCAATTTCACTAAATCCAAGACAAAACCCCACACTACACTAAATTTGGAACAGTGGAAACAAATTATTCCAGATTGAAGTATAAAACTGGCACAACAAGCGGCAAGCGAAACAACGTTCCCCGTGCGAGGCTGAGCTCACACTGGACTACTGGATCAATACTTTACACAGCTAACGGTGCCAAAGAAAGAGACCCAGGAAGTTAAAGATAAGATACACAAATAAGAAACACATTTAAACTGATATTTCTCCCCTTTCAGGGTCTTCTTCAGAGGTAGAATTACTTCAACTTCCCATTCTACCTCTGAAGAAGCCCTGAAAGGGGAGAAATATCAGTTTAATTTAAATGTGTTTCTTTTTTATTGTACCTTTAACTTCTTAGGACTCTTTCTTTAGGTGAGTTTGTTGTCCATCCTTCTAACAAATTAGTAAAACAACAATATTACTTAATCTATATACTTATTAGCTGTGTACCGCTGGGGGACTTGGCGGGGCGGAACGCTGCCGCGTTCCTTAATTTAATACGCAAGCACGATTTTTGTGACAATTACTCCTCCGAAACTACTGAACCGATTGACATGTTTTTGGTGTCATTGGAAAGAGCGTAACGTGAAGTTGTGCAGGAAACTTTCTTTTTAGGTAAATAATTAGAGAGTGAGGCCCTGGGGCCCTTTAAAGTTTCGTATTTCTCCATAAGATTAACATGGGAAACAAACATTGTTTTGAAACTCCAGCTGTTGTCAGAAATTAAATATTAAATAATTGGTCTCCATGGAAGCATGAGAAAATTCACAATGTTTACATTTGGTTTGACATTTTATTGTAAACAACCAGAACTGTCAAATGTCTATTTCACAAATTCCGACAGCTGATCCAAAAAAATGTATTTTCCTTCCACCATGTAAAACAACTATGTGGTAGGTTTATTTAATCTTAAACTTTATGATAGATTATTTATTATAAATCTATTTCAATGATTATGAAACAGATTTTTCCCGTTGCGAAGCAAAAATTAATAATGAGGAGAAGAACATATTTAAAACAGTCAATGTGTAAATTATCTATGTTGTATTAAAAATGTGTTTAGTTTTGGATGTTGGTTTGTGTTAAATGATATCGGTTATTAGTTATTGCATTTTTATTCTAAGGATTTGGCATATGAGTAAGCCTATGATAAATAACACCATTTCAGAGTTCTGCCAGTTTTTGCCTAACTCTATCCTGTAGAGTTTAAAGTAGCCTACACCTTATTGTCTACATATTGGCTAAACAACTTAGGTACGGTACTTTATAAAAGCTGATAGCCTTTTTACGTTGACTTAAATTGTAAGCTTACCTTTTCCCGTATATGGGCAGATTGATTGTTAAAAATTAACCCTTTAAACTGGAATAGGACTGTCATGTAAATTGTGAGTATTTCCTTTAGTTAATAATCTTTTAGTTGACTCTTTTAAAATCAACAGAAATTATGACTGTTATTAGTTTTTAAACAGGTTATTTGTTTATAAATAACTCCTGTACTTCTTTATAATAGCTCGAATTCGAGCAACATGTACACTAGTTGAAACTTAAATTCGTAAAACAACAATATTAATTAATTGAAACTAAATTTTGGTTTAAAAAAATTTTCCGAGTCATAAACACACTTTTTCCTAAGAGTATTACCAACAAATTGTGTTGAACAGATGTATCAAAACTTTACCATTTATAGTGAGACTAGCTGTACCTGCGGGCTTTGCCCCGTTTAACTTCATAAGTATTCGCATGGCTCAATCATTAATTCCTTTTAGATATGAAAAATCATAAGGTTAACATGGGAAACTCCAGAGCCACTGGGGCGGAGCCCGAAAGCCCGATGAGTCGGTGTACCGAATTTCAGCCTCCTAGGTAAATGGGAAGTGAGAGAATTAGTGATGAGTGAGTGAGTGAGTCAGTGAGGGCTTTGCCTTTATATCTATATATATAAAATCCAATGTATGTTTGTTTGTATGTATGTATGTATGTTTGTTTGTTTGTTTGTTTGTCCTTTATGGACTCCGAAACCGCTCGACAGATTGTAATGAAACTTTCAGGTATTATTAAGCATTATTCAAGGATGGTTTGTGTGCAGATCCCTCAAAAGGGCTCCGCCCCAGTGGCTCTGGAGTTTCCCATGTTAACCATATGAGTATTCATATTTAGATAAAATTAAAGAATCTTAACTGCTGGTTCAACTAAAGAATTTTATTCTGTGATGTTCATTAGCATTAGAAATTTAATAGGTTTACCTACAGGGTGCAGCACTATTATTTTTTTAAATTTATGACAACAGCTAATTTGCAACCAAAAGGTGAGTGAGTGAAGCGAACAAACTTCAACCTGGTGGTGAGTTAGCGTAGCGAACGAGCTAGCCTGAAGGCAAGTGAGTGCAGCGAACAAGCTCCAACCTAAAGGTGAGTGAGCGTAGCGAACGAACTTCAACCAGGACGTGATTGAGCCATGCGAACGAGCTCATCTTGAAAATGAACGAGCATTTGACATAAAACCACATTAGGACAGGACAAAGTCTGTCGGGCCAGCTGGTATTTAGATAATTCTTAAAATATGTAAGTAACATTGGTGAGGCAAAGTAAAATATCGGAGATGTAAGCAAAAGGTCATCTAGGTCTACAAAATGAATGACCACTTCTGTATTCTTAACCCTACACTGGCTCAGTAATACTATACATTCAACAATAGTTTAAAATGTGAAAGCGGGCTGATGTTTGAAACAGTTTGTATTGACAGTTGGTCATGAGCAACCTATCAGCGTAATCAAAATTGGATTTCTCCATTTTCTTATGACACATTTCCACAAAACAGGAAGATTAGTAATAAAGTAAAATAATCAACAGATTTGTAACAGACTGTACCAGTGTCTATGCTGTTGTCTGATGTATGCTGTGTAATGGCCTGTATCCAGTGATCCTTCATGATTAATCACCGCAAACAGAGAATACCTGAAAACGCATTCACTGTTAGTACTGTTTATTGATATACTATTTCATCAAAAATACCATGACCTGAAAACAAACTTTGATATATGGAGGAACTGACTAACCTAAATCCAACTGAACTTACTGAGGTCTTAAAATATTTTGCTAAACACTTTTGAGAAAACATTCATTTGAAACAGTTAGTATGGCACAAATTATTGTTATGCTACAGTCCAATTGTTGTTTAGTGGTACTGTGTTGACACACAGCCAAACATCAGAAATGTATGCAATTATACTTGCCTGAGCCATTAGGTCGGGCCAAAATCAGGTTACTTTGGAAAGTATTGATTTAAAAAGTATTAATTGATATCCTACAATTTTGGTTTGTAAAATATTTCCACTAAAACAACAATATTAAGCAATAATAAAGTATCTCCTGCACTTGTGGTAAAATTGGGAATTTTTCCTACAATTGTGGTGAAATCCCGAATATCTCCAGAAATTGTGGTGAAATCATAAACATCTCTTTGGGCAAGTATAACTCAGGCATTATTATTAACATCCCCTGCGATTGCGAGAAAAACGTGAACGTATTCTGCAGTCGCAACAAATTGTGAACATCTCCCGTGGTGGTTGCAAAATCGTGAATGCCTTCTGTGATCACTGAGAAATGGTGAACTTTTTACTGTTGTAGCAGCAAACTTGTGCTCAGGAAGATCTCTCAGTCATAGTCACAGTGAAATTATGAACATCTCCTGTGATTGAGTAAAATCTTAATTTCTTAAATGTCTCCTGTGGTTGTGAAATCATACATTCTTTATTTTGCAATCCTTGAAGATGCTTTCTGCTGTCATGATAATAATTAAAAATATACGCTCAGCCTGATTCAGCTCAAAAATCAAACTGCTCTCATACCGAGAAAAAAATTCTTTTTTAATTCTAAAATTATTACCGGTACTTCACCCGACCTTGGCCTGAAAATTATTCCCAGACTGAACCTGGACCTAGATTTCCCGGACAAATGACGGGGAACCCCTAACAACAACCTATAGGCCAACACAGTTCATTACCTGTAGTCCTCTAGGGTGGAAGGAATGTGGGAGACGTGTGTGTTGCGTTTGTGAGACATGAAGGGACTCATGTCAAGCTCCTGAGGAAACACCACCTCCGTTGATATCTTCTTGTGCAGTCTGTTGGAGTGCTCAAACCTCTGTAAAAAACAAATTAGAACTTCAAAAGTAGTGTTTTTTATACATAATTATAACAGAATTTAATTTTTGAGTTTTTTTGTTAATCTAACACCAGAATCACATTCTTGACTTTATAGACTACTGTTCCAGCCATTGCCACACCTATATAGCAATCAGTCCCGTCATAGTTGTCTCGGAGATATCATCATTGTCTCCTGGGTTCGCGGAATCATCGTGAACATCTCTCACAATTGTGGAGACATCATCATCCTCAGCCTTAATACTGACAATAATTTTTGCAATTGCTGAAACGTCATCATCATCACTCACGACGCAGCAAAATCGCCAACGGCCAGAGCGAATCACCCACCAAGAAAATCCCGTATCAAGTGCAATCCCATCCCAATAAATAAATAAATAAATAATAAAAATAAAAATGCCTTTATTTAGCAAGCGTTCCTCAGTACATACTGCTTTACAGGATAACTCTTGTCAATTTAATTACTAATACTAAATAAAACTAACAACAAAAAGTACATAATCTATTTACAAAATTTGAGGTCCTTTCTATACATTTCTTTTAGCTTATTGCTAAAGGCTGGAACACCCAGCAACTTAAGATCACAGGGGAGGTCATTATAAAACTTCGGCCCAAAGTATAGAAAGCCTCTCCTGCCAATCTCCAGCCTCACTCTCGGGAAGTGAAACAGCTTTTCCTGTCGAGTATTGCACCGAGACACCCGATCGCGGGAGACCAGTTTTTCCATCAGGTAAGCTGGTTCTTTTTTTACCAGTACCCGATGAGCCAGAGTGCAATGATCGGGAATACACGATCCCAAAAATGTTTGTTGGTTGAGGTAGAAAAGACCAATGTTAATAAAAATTCATCTTGATTCAACTTAAAATTTCAAAATGGCGGCCATTTTAATTTTTAAACTTAAATTACTCAAAAACTGCTAATTTTATGAAAAAATGTCAAGAACACTCTTTTATTTAGCATTTTTAATTCCCTATCAAACGATACCAAGTTCAAAAAGATCGAATGAGAAATAGCTGAAATATTACGATTTTTAGTTGTAAAATCCATTTTGAAATTTTAATTTGAATCAAGATGAATTTTTTTTTCTAACATTCTAACATAACATTTTCTACTTCAACCTACATACCAAGTTTTATAAAGATCAGTTAAAAAAATTCAAAAATAAAAATATTTATGTACAAAAAAATACAAAATGGCGGATATCTGGTTAACGAAGCGATTTTGGAAAAAAAATGTTATTCTTTATTTTCTCTTTATTTTTACCCATAGAACCATTTCCTGGAGTTTGGCTGTTTACTTACAGGTCAGCCTGTATAATTAAGTACTATTATTTTACATTTTTTTGCAAATTGGCTAATGTTTTATAAATACTCTGTCCTGAAAAAGCATTTGGCTCTAGCTTACTTGACCTTCTATTGTTCTGTTCTATACTGATTAATTTGCAGTACACAGTGTTTGGCAATTTTTTTGTTTGGGTAAATTGTCATTTTAATCGTTATGGTTTTTATATCTGAACCAAGGTTAATGACTTAACATATCATGATTGCATGATACTATACTTGGTTCTTCACAATATTTAAGTGGTTTTAGGGGAAGAAATCTATCCCCTCCACTTCACCATTACCTTTTAAAATAATAGCTCAACAGCTGATTCAGCAATCTATACTTATTTAATACGCAAGCAGGTTTTTTGACACAATTACTCCTCCGAAACTACTGAACCGATTGACATGTTTTTGGTGTCATTGGAAAGAGCGTAACGTGAAGTTGTGCAGGAAACTTTCTTTTTAGGGAAATAATTAGAGAGTGAGGCCCTGGAGCCCTTTAAAGTTTCGTATTTCTCCATAAGATTAACATGGGATTAACAAATATTGTTATGAAACTCCAGCTGATGTCAGAAATTAAAAGTGAGAAGAAGAGCATATGTCAATATTGTAAACAGTCAATAAGTCTGCTAATTTAACAGTTTGCTACAAACATTTACTTACTTGGTTGAAAAGAAATATTTAATACTGTATTTGAATTTAGGTTGGCGTAATTATTACAATATAAAAAAGCAAAAGAGCCTGGATAAATTGATATACTAAGAAGAAAACTGAATTAACACTGACTGTGCTGCATTTCTTAGTAATCATTGAAAGAGCCGATTTGCAAACTATGGAAACATAGGAAAGTCATAGAAACCCACCTACAGGCGTTATTTTAAAATGAGTGTTATTCATTTTAAAATAACGCCTGTAATACTTAGCAATTGCTCGAATTCGAGCAACAGGTACACTAGAATACATTAAATACAAAACCATGGTGGGGGAACTCATACCTTCTAAATATTGTGAAGAAAGTATAATTTGTTGTAATTTGGGTAATTTATACAGTATTGCACGTTTTTATGGGCAACAACATGTTAATGTCATATTGGAATAATCTTGGTGTTCAGTTATCCGTGATCCGTGTGGTCTTCCTCCCTCCCCATTACCCCATATAATCGTGGTCCTGATTCCCCCCCCCCCCCGTACCTGCCTTTCTTATTCCCCTACTCTTGACCTCACTTACAATGTCTGCACTACACTAACCTCACATGCTGATAGCCTAGTGACGCACCTTGAGGTGGAAGCAGGCGACCACAGGAAGTGTTTTTAACGTGAGCTGTTTAGTGCTCTCCTGGTAAGTATCACAATTGCTACACCATATCTTGGCTGTTGTGCCGAGATGCTCAGCCCGAGTGAATTGTTGCAGACATTCTAGCAGTGACAGCGAGGTGCCCACTCCACTGATAGCCAGGTCTAGTGAGATGTCCCAGAATGGGTCGATAGTTGTCGACACTCCACTACAACAAAAATGAGCTGGGGATTACGAGAAAAACTTTTGGTGCAGTATGGTTCCATAACCTTAGCATAATGTGGACAATGTGAACCAAAAGGGTGCAGAGTTTGAGAAATGCCAAGTGACTGGTTAGAAGGGCAAAGATCTTAAACTAAGACATTAAATTACGGAATATATATGTGAATTATTTAAGAAAATACATTGATGTTTTTATGGTTGTGGTCTGACTATTGAATGTGTGGGCTAATGACACTGAGTTAGGTAGCCTAGTTATCCACCAGGGAAACTTTCAGTATTGTAAATACACCACCATGCCTTTGTGTTTAAAGGGTTTTGTGTAACTTGCGTAAAAATTCTTTACAGGTTCACCAAGAAATCCGGGTTATCGGCTGCCGAGTTTGTAGGAGTTTACTGTGGCAAGGTTTAAAACCGTTTTAGTTCCAGTTATTTGGGCAGTATCTATATATTGTTAAATAGGGGAGGGAGGAGTTTGATATGTCATCATTTGGGTTTATTTTGAAATCTTCTCAGTCAAGCATGAGGGAGAATAAATACATGGAGGGAGGGGACTGTATGTCGTAGAATCTGAAAATATGTGGTTTTGGCGACATATAAAACTGAACGAGTCCACACAGACAACAAAAATTGTCGTTTAACGGAGAAGGTGGGATGTTTGTGTCTTACCTCGTAGTGCTGATCTGTTACATCACTAGGAGAGTCCAATTTATATTGGTATTAATTAACTTGATCCAATTTTCACTAATTCAAACAAAACTAAACATTGATATTCGGTCCTAGAGTAGGACTTCTTCAATGTAGATTTATGAGAAATGTTAGTTAAAAACGTGTCTTATTTATAGAACTCAAAATATCAACATACCTGCAAGCAGTACAGACAACATCCGATTGTAGCCCTCCTGTAAATATCTGGTCAATGATACAACTGCAATGGTGTGGTGTTTGGCACAATGTCTTTGCTGTGCAGTGCCTGTAAATGACAGTCTTATTTATTTAGGATTTTGTATCTATACGAGCTGCCATATCCGTGCTTCACAACAGAAGAGAACGTGGTAAAGAATATTGTTGTTCTTTAGATCTACTGGATAAAATAGTTACACATCTTATTATTAATTTTAGAATTAAAACTTAATTTAACCAATTAGTGAGTAAAATTATTTTCTTGACATTGAGATAATGGGTTTAACTTTCTCAGACAACCATTACGCAGTGACTAAGTGGAGCTGATGTGTTTAGTCAAGCCTAAATATTTTAGTTACCGGTAAGCTTCTTTACCTGTAGCTTACATACAATATAACTTACAAAGAAAACTGTGAGCATTATTCTACAAAACGTTTACTATTTACTACCTTTCTTTAATTATAGATAACCTTCTTAATAATAAATACCCCCGCCGCAGCAAACCTGCAGACTAAGTGAATTTCCATTTACCTGGCTGGATTTCTACTAAAATATTCCCTTAAAATTGTCAGATTTATTTTAGTACTTAGGTATGCTGGTACAGGGAAGATATTGAGGTGTGTTTTTTGTTGAAATGTTGATGCTTAGTATAAAATCAACAAAATTGTCAAATTTGATTAAAATACATCAATAAACAAACCAACTACAACAGTTTATTTATTCTCCATAAGATAACATGGGAATTTAAAATTTACAATTTTTTTAACTAGCCTACCTCCGTAACCACTAGGTATACAACAACGCTTCAATATACAAAATTATTTATCTTTTTAAGCTGTACATAATAGTTTGGAAATAAATTATGAAATTTTGTGTTTTTAGGGTCAAAAATGAGAAAAATCTATTTTTACCCCATTGAACCCCCCATAAACCCCCGTTTCCAAGGTCCGATTATGCAGGTTCACTAACTCGATCGAATAAACGTAGGTTAGCACGCTTGTACCAAATTTCATCAAAATCGGATCACTTTTGCCTGATTTATCGCGCTAACGGACACATATATAACATATACAGTAGACCCCCCTCTTAACCGACCCTAATGGGACCGAACCTAGTTCGGATAACTCAAATGGTCGGTTAAAACGGGCAATCCCTAAAAACATAACATAAATAATTGCTGTTCATTTGGAATTGTATAATCCATATTTTGAAGTCGTACTTGCACTATTTATAAAATAAACTACATTTACAGTATCTCAATTTTTTTGTATTGATAGAAAAGTCACAAATAAACACAAAACATGGTTACGTCAAATACTTTCAGTGGAATAAATTATAGTTGTAGGCAAGGGTCATTACAAATTCTTAATTTAGTAACTTTAGTACTGTAATATTAATTAATTGATGCTTGTCAAATTTATCGTAATACAATACAAAACATTTTGTCAAAATTAAAGACACAAGAAACCATTTTGTTACAAGACAAGGATGTTAAGAATCAGAATCAGAATACTTCATTCTTGAACATAGAGTACAGAATAGGCGTAAAACATTAGGAGAATTAAATATAAAAGAGCATTTAAAGGTTTTGGGCTTTGAGGCGCTATCGGTAGTGATGGTTATTACTATGAGGGTTGTTTATTTCTCAATGGAACATCGGTGATGTTCTCCAGTTCATGAACTCCTCAACTGTGTAGAATGGTCTCTCCACAAGCCAAGCCGATAAGTGTTGTCTGGTGCTGCTTATGCTGGGGCCTTTTATTGTCTCTGGTAGCAGGTTCAGGAACTTCACTCCCATGTAGGAAGGATTTTCTTCAAAAAGAGTTAGATGATGGACTGGAAGTGTGTAATTCATAGCCTGTCGGGTGTTATGGCTGTGCCTTTCCATACCTCATTGGAGCTGTAGCCTGCTAGGATAGCCACAGCTAGAATATACAGGCTTGTAATCGTTAGGATTTTTAGCTTACGGAATTTCGGTCTGTGACTTCCTCTCTTGTTAATGTCTGCTAATATTCTTACTGCTTTTTTCTGGTGGATAAGCACACGTTGGAGGTGGGTGCCGATGGGTTTCCCCTCCCCATACTTCAAGGCCATATTGAAGATGTGATTCAAACAGTGAGTGGTAGGCAATCTTGGCTATGTTGGTGTCACTTATGGTTTTTATCCTTCTTATCACGTAGACACTGCTACTCAGCTACTACACAGGCTGTCAATATGGGGGGTCCATGTCAGTTTCTGGTCTATTATTAAACCTAAATACTTTGCTTCTTCTGGGCCTTCGATGTCTGGGATCCTGCATACCCCACCATTTCTCCTGCCAAAGACCAGTTGTGTTTTCTCTTCATTAACTACTAGGCTGTTGTTTTGGCAATATTGTATTTCCATGGTTATGGAAACAAACGAGCAGATTTCAAGGGCTTCAGGGTTTTTTCCTCCAAGGAGGAGTACGGTATCATCCGCATACATAAGAGTCTTGCTGTAGTCTTCCAAATAGTGAGGGAGATAATTTGTAAACAAGATGAAAAGGATGGTACCCAGCACAGAACCCAGTGGAACACCCCTTACTATACAGGTAATAACTTTGATCTTACTGTTTGTGTAGATAACCCCTTTTCAGTGTATTTAAGTTCAACCATCTGACTTCTTCCAGTTAAATAGCTCTTGAACCATTCTGCAGTTTTCCCAACAATCCCAATTTTTCTTATGATCTAAGCAGTCAAATACTTTGCTAAAATCAAGTAAAATTGTGGTTGGTATGTTTCCTTCTTCTAGATTATCTATTACATATTCAGTTAGCGCTATTATGGCAGATGTGGTTGATTTTCCCTGTACAAATCCATGCTGATGTGGTGTGAGCAGTTCATTGGATGATAGGTGTTGAAGAAGTCTGTTTAGTAATATTTTTTTGAATACTTTGGAGAATGTGGAAATTAATGAAATTGGGCGGTAGTTCTTTGAGTCTAATGGTTTCCTATCATGAATTTTGGGTATACGTTTGCAATTTTAAGCCCACTTGGGAAAATTCCGTCTTGGAAAGAACGGTTGATGATGTATGTTAATGATCCAGCAAGTTCTTCTTTACGTTTTTTTTATAGACTGGCGGACATATCATCTACTCCGGCAGATGTTTTATTTCTTAGGTAAGGTAGGGTGTTGATCACTTGAGTCAGTTCCTGCTTGTTAGTTAACTGAAGAGACATCTCATGTGTCTGACAGTGTACCTCTGTGATTTCAGCTGACTGATTTTGGTTTTGAGGATTTTGTGCAAGGGTGTCATTAGCTATGTTAACGAAGAACTCATTAAGGCGATTAGCAACATTTTGAGGATTGTTGGTTTTGAGGCCATTTATTTCTAAATGGTGTGATTGATTGTTCTGATGTGTCTCGAGTCAGCTTTCTTTCTCTGTTGATGACCCTCCAGAGTGCTTTGGTTTTATCATCAGCTTGCTGTATTTGGACTGCTGAGGGCCTGTCGTCTTAGTGTCTTCAGTTTCAGGTCGTAATCTTTTTTTCTTATTTGACATTGTAATTTTGTTCTCTTCTGTTCCACTCAGTAGGTATTTGTTCAGAGCCTGTAGAAATTATTGCTTTAGTACCTCAGCTTCGTGGTTTGCTATAGGACGTTTTCTGGGTTTTTCCTTGACTTTACCATTGGGCAGGTTTGGTTAATAGCTCCTGCAATAATCTTGCTGAAGTTCCGATAGGTGTCCTCTGTTTGATGTTCATTGAAGACACTTTCCCAGGTTTCTTGGGCAAGAATAGATTTTAAGTTCATGACATTCCTTTGGTTGAATCTCCTCGAATAGAAGGTTTGATTCTGAGCTTCTGGGGCAGAGGTATTTATTTTGCAGAGCTATGCTGTGTGGTCTAATAGTCCGGCATTGAGAACGTCAACCTGAATATCATCATTGCCTAGATCTTTGCAGACACAGTCAATTGAGCTTATTGTAGTAGGTGTTATTCTTGTAGGATGCAGGGGGAGCAGTATCATATTGTTGCTAAGAAGAACTTCGTTTAGTTTTGTCATTTCAAGGCTTGGCTCCAAGCAGTCTATATTGATATCACCTATGAGGATCTATAATATTAAAACATGACAGGGTTTTTTTTTATTTCACGATTCTGAATCAACCACTTGACAGATTTTCATGATTTTTGTGTTGAAAGAAAGATAATTTTGAGAACTAGGGAATGTCGAAGCCATAATTTTAGTTTAGGGTCCCAGTTTTTTAGAAATTAAGTTTTAATTTTTTTAAAGTCTAGCAGCCGACGCTTAACTTCTAAACTAGCTTTTGGTATGATATAATTTGCTTAACATTGTAACCCGCTTCCGGGCGTGTTTCGTTACTTTGTCGGGTCGGGGCGTTACGCGCCCCTGATAGCCTAGCCGAGCTGGGTTATTCCGGGGGTCAATTTTGGTCGAGTTTCCCGCTTTTGTCTCCTAAAGTCGTTTTCCTGGCTCAGGCGGGAATATTTTGCCTCTTGGCTTTATTCGTGCCTCATCATTGCCAGGAAACGAGTGAATAAAAGAGGGAGGGCGAGATTTTGTTTCGAAGTTATAGCTTCGTGCGCGACTCTGTTCACAACCTCCTCGGTGGAGTGACAATTATTCATTTATTTAATTCACTACCCTAAGTCCATGCGCCACGGACCGAGCAGAATTAGTTTAGATGCGTCTTTATTATTTAAAATAATACAATGCGTTTCGGGCGAGTGGACTAGTTCAAAGCCCCGTGAGAGAGTAGGAATATGGAAAGGTGCAAACGAACATACAGAGTAGGGCGGAGAAGGATCGTTATAGAAAGAGTAACATACGAGACACACACACACACAGAGACAGGTTGAGCACACAAAGACTTATTTCAAATAGATTAAGCCTAACTAGAAACTAACTTATTCCCAGATTTTCCGGGATAGCTTAGGTCTAACTTATAAATAACTTATTTCCGGTGTGCCCGAAGTAATTAAAGCTAACTTATAAATAACTTATTTCCGGGTTTTCCGGAATAGGTTAAAGCTAACTTATAACTAACTTATTTCCGGTGTGCCCGAAGTAATAGAGAAAGAAGAAAG